AACACACCATAAAGATCCTGATCCCCAAACCCTAAGTCCAAAAACCCAGGTCGACAAAAACTGAAGCTGTTGCTCAAGGTAGTGGGTTCCGGGTGTTCCGCATATGATCCCTACCATGGGCACGCCTACCTGCACTGAAACCTCGAGCACGAAACCTCCTTGCAGCTGCCTATGGTCCCTAACCCTAAACCCGAAACCAAGCTTTCGAGCGTGAAGGAAAGTTAAGCTTTGAAAACCTAATGTCCTAAAATTTTAACATCCCAAACAAGACAGCACAAGTAAAACAGTGGTTCCGTTGTCTGAGTTCTGATTCCTGTCGGGTTTCCTTTATACGGGTTCCCATATAAAGGCCTTAACAATTCGAGCAGAGTTTGTGGGGAGTGGAGGGGTGACGGGTGTGGGGCATATCTTATTACAATTCTCATGGGGAGCAGAGGGTTTGAAGGGTATGCTAACTTTAGGGTGCTTGAACAATCACCTACAACTACTTATAGTCTCCATTGTAGTTCCCCGTTTAAGCCAACCAGATGTTTAGGATCCAAGAGGTTGACCCGAAAAAGGAATATCAAAGTTATAATGAGCCCTGAGGGAATCTACACCTTAAGCCTTCTCCTAACTTGGAAGGGTTTTGGGGTTCGGGGTTCAGGCTCTAAAGGGAAGGAACCCTAACGCTTTCATAGTAAAACCCAAAACACCTTAGAGTAAAACCCTCAACTCTAAACCCCTAGACCCCTTTTAGATCTCTTTGATCCCTCAAAGTCCCCCCAAAGAAAAGGAACTCTAAATTTAAAGCTTCTGCAGTAAACCCTAAAACCAACCACGGAAGCCGAACATCCCACTGGCGAGGAAGGCCTTCGCTTGCCGCCGCGGCCGCGGCCACCAGCAGCCTCCACGAAGTCGTTGAACCATCTAAATCTAAACTCTTGTTTATATCTGTAAATGTACTATATATATATACACATGATATACGCACATATGTGTAATTATACATATATGGATTATGTATATCCAAACAAACACATGATCGGCCGAAACGCAAAGACCTAAATAAATTACATAATGTAGCAATACCAATGATAATAATCATCATCATCAGCATCATCATCATCACCATCATCATCATCATTCATCGCCATCCTTATCATCATCACCATCACCACCATCATCATAATCGTCATCGTCGTCGTCATCGTATCCACCACCATGATCAACATCATCATCATCGTCACCGTCAACATCAGCACCAGCATCGTCAGCATCATTGTCATCATGGTCGTGAGCATCTTCAACATCTTCATCAACAGCAACAGAAATAACACTCTTCATAATAACCCGAAATTACATGCATTGTTTTGTCGACCTGTGATGAAACCTTATTTCCAAGGCATTGGCATGAAACCTTCGACTTACCCTTACCTTTGAGTAGGTGTTGTTCCACAAGTTAACTTACATTGCATTCCGGATATTCGCTGCAGCAAAGCAGCTTATGAGCTAGCTAGCATAACTAGGGGCGCTCGAACTGATCATGGTTCAGAACGGTCTCCAATCTATGCAACTGTAAGCAGAAACGCCGACCCTGCCACAAACATCGCAACTTTGCATTGTGGCGCTGTCGCCTCTTGGGTTGCGTTTTCCTCACGCCCGTGTCATCATGGGTATTGCTAGCAGATGAGCATGGGAATCCCAACTGTCAGCCCTAAACCCTCAGCCGCAAACCCAGTTTCAGAGCTCATTCCTAAACCTCTACGCCTGAATCTTAAACTCTCTACCCTAAACCCTGAACTAACAGCAAAGACTTTACAAACTCTCAACCCTGAAGCCTAAACTCAACCCCAAACCCCACTTAACTCTCGACACCCTACACCCTAAAACTTCTCAACTCTCAATCCTTCCCGAAACCCTACACTAGGATGCCCAGTAACCTAGGAACAAAGATCTGTAACTTAAGGAGCCTAGGACTACAAAAAGGGAATAAGGGTACTACTGGGCATCCTAGTTCCCTAAACCCTAAACCCTAAGCCCTAAACCCTAAACCCGAAGCCCTCAACTCTAAACCCTAAGCCCTAAACCCTAAACCCTAAGCCCTAAACCCTAAACCCGAAGCCCTAAACCCTAAACCCGAAGCCCTAAACCCTAAACCCGAAGCCCTAAACCCTAAGCCCTAAACCCCAAACCCTAAGCAAGTCCTTGCCTTGCGCTCTTCTTCGGCCCAAGCCTTCCAAACTGCTCTCACTACTGACACGTCTTCTGTTAGGATCTAGGGCTTGGGGTGTAGGCTTTTCAGGTTCAGAGTTTTGGGGTTTGGGGGGGATTTTGGGGGGGTTTGGGGCCTTAGGGTTTAGGGTTTACTTTGGGGTTTAGGGTTTGGTTTCGGATTAAGGATCTATACGGATGAACCTAGGGTTCAAGGTTTGGTTTAGGGTTTGGGTTCTAGTTTCGGGTTAAGGGGTCGGGGCCCTGGGGCTTAGGCTTTGGTAAGGAAGACCCCCGCTAGAGCCTTCGACCTTTAGGGTTTTCGACATTGCATTGCTTTTAGAGGTTTAGGGGGTTTAGGGTCTAGGGTTTAGGGGGTTTAGGGTTCAAGAAGCCTTCTCTTGAGAAAAGCCGGTTGAATGCCGGGGTAAATTCAGAAGGGATGGGTCCCCCAAACAATTCGCCACTCTTGCACGGAGGATCCGGAAAGCTCGTGCACACTCACACACCTCGTCCCCCTTTTCAACACAAATTATTGCTAGTTTTGCGGCTGCTGCTTGTCGACGTGATCATAGGTTTCACTCATATGCCGTGGGAAGTCGGGGATGCACCAAGCTGAATATGCCAGTGATGATGATGTTGCAGATGATGATGATGATGACAATAATAATAGCAATAATAATATTAATAATAACAAACTCATGGTGATGATGGAGATGATGATGGTTGTGGTGATGGTGGTGATAATGGCGATGACGATGAATCATCATCATCATCATCATCATCATCGTCGACATCACCATGATGTTGCCAACACTGTTGATGTTGATGTTTAACCCAGTTTCACACAGTGCTTTTCATTGACATTGTGTGCCTTGCAAGTCTGGTAGTCGGCATCGGCAAACCATTCAAACGTCTGCACTCCTCTTCACTCAGCCGCTTTCTACCCCACCCCCAACCACCCCCCCCCCAAAAAAAAAAAAAAAAAAAAAACACACACACACAAAAAACAACAAAAGACTCTCTGCAGAGTTATGGTGGATAAGGCGTTGGGTTCGGTTTGTTGGAGTCCCGCCCCCTGGATGATCGATTCCATTTCTTGCGAATGCTGGGAAAAATACTCGCATACGCAGGACTTCTGGGCTTGGTTCGGGTTTCGGCAGCATAAAACTGCATTTGCATCCCTAACACACAAAACATGTAGATGAATCCCCAAAGCGAGCCTTAAGGGAAGCTTGAAGCTCCCTTTCGAGAGACGCGCAAACTCCGACTTTCCCAGAAGCCCAAGAATCCCTCAACCAGAACAGCTGCCTTGCGCTCTTCCTCATCCCAGGCCTGAGTGTACTTGGAGGTTCATGGGTAGTTATAAGTGGAGTTATGTGTCCTTTAATATCCCTTAATATGGGTTATAACTATAGCTACCCTCTTATAAGCCCAGTTATAACTACCCATGAACCTCCAGGTATAGTTGAGGAATAGGGTTGAGGGTAAGGGTTTGAGGAATAGGGGTTTAGGGAATAAGGGCCCTCATCATGAGAAGAGGGTTCTTTTGGGGGTTGCACGGTACCCGCGGTATCAGAAGAGGTCTTCAGAGGTTGAAAGGGCTTCTAGTATAGAGGCCCTGATAGTTGGAATCCGATTTTGGGTTACACTACACTATAAATATACCTGAACCCCAAATAACCTACCTTTTCAAGGACTTAGACAAAGAAATCATATTAGGGAACCCTAAAAAAAGGTAGGTTCCTTAGGCTCCATGTAATAAGGAGCCTTACGGACGAGCATTAATAACTGCTCGGGCCCTAGATGATCTGGGCTTGGCATCTTCCTTTGGGGTGAGGAGTGTTCTAGGTCAAGTGCAGGATATCAAGAGCTCTGTGTAACTTTCTTTGTATGATCTGTAGAATGACTTTCTTCCCATATATATATATATATATATTATACTCACACACATAATATGTATATACTCATTGCGACAATGTAAGAAGTTTTTTTGGCTGCGATTTGGGTGACTTGAGGACGCCTGTGAACAGAATCTTGTCATAAGACAGTCGCACATGGTGTCTTGCGATGTTCCAGCTTCCCACCCTAAACCCTAAACCCTAAACTCTCAACCCTAAACCCTACATCCTACACCCCAAACCCTAAACCCTGAACCCTAAATCCTAAACCCTGAACCCCTAAACCCTAGCCCTGCTCTTCTCCTGCTCGCCGCACTTGAGAAAGCATCAACACAAGATTCCCAAAATCACTGCTCGGAGCGGTGAACCTAGAGGGTCCATATACACTACCATTATGGAATTAGGCCCCCAAAGCCAGAATAGGAATGGTCTTTTGGGGCCTGTATAATTCCATAATAGAATAATATATGGACCCTCTGGGGCGCTTCTAAGAACCGTTGTGTCAAGAGTCAAAAGATGCCGGCCTCGAGTCCTAAACGCGCAATGACCCCCCCTCCCCCCCCACCCTCCACGTTTGCGTTACATAGGAGCCTAATTATTCGAACAGGGGTTTGAGCTATGTTTTGTTCGATTTATACTATAATTATAATTACAATTATAAGGAACCCCCAAAGTTGTGTAGGCAATTATCAAGTGGCCTTTAAAATATGGTCTTTTGTAAAGAATGAAGTGAAAAGGCTGACTTTTTGTCTAGGTCTTCAAGAATTTTGGGTGTTGGCTTCAAGCACCCTTGATATTTCAGCGATTTAAGGTATTGCTCTGAAGACACAAACCCAGCCCTGAGGTGCAAACTCGTGCTGCCGCGTCGAACGCATCTTCCTGGCAAAGTGTACTCGCAGGAGTCGCAGATTTCGTCTTTTTGTGGTTGCCGATATTCTTGACCCAGAAAAGACCCTGATTTACGAAACTGCCGATGGCCACTAAGGTTGCTCCTGCCAGTTGCCCAGAAATCCCAATATCTCCGAATTAAGGAATATACCTTAAATCATAATATTAAGACCCCTATAATTTAAGGTACAGTCCTCAATTAAGTGGTATTGGGTTCTCTAGGAAGATGAACCCTAATACCTAAACCCCTAAACCCCTAAACCCTAAAGCCTAAACTCCTAAACCCTACCTTAACCCCAAGTAACCTACCTTTCTAAGGATTTGTATAAAGAAATCATACTCGGGAACCCTAAAAAGGTAGGTTCCTTAGGGTCCAGGTAAAGCCTAAGCTACTTGAGGTTCGGCGCCTCTTGGCTGAGGCGTCTGTCGTGTTTCAATCCTAGAGAACCCAATACCCCTTAATTAAGGAATCTACCTCAAACTATAGGGGTCTTAATCTAGGATACCCAGTAACCTAAGAATAAAAAGGCCTCTCTTTTTGGTATTGGGTAACTTTATAAGGAACCTTGGACTACAGAAAGGGAATAAGGGTACTACTGGGCATCCTAGTAATATTATGATTCAAGGCATTTTCCTTAGGAGATATTGGGATCTCTGGGATGGTGTGCTCCGGAATTGCAGGTGCAGCGAACCTCCCAGAGACTCCAATATCCCGGTATACAGGAACATACCCCTAAGGGTGCCTTAAAGGGCTCCTGAGAGGGATCTGTAAGGGTTCTATAAGCGAATTGATTAAGGATTATTCCCTGAAGTATAGTAGGATCCCTAATATGATTTAAGGAATTTTCCATTAAGGGATATTGGAGTCGCTGGGCTGTTCCTGGCAGCTTGGAAGAAACCCTCTCGACTGTAAGCTTGGATCCGATTCATGTTTGTGCTCAGCTGGGGCCTTTCCGTGGGGTTCGGTTTTACGGCTTTCAGAAACCCTAAACCCTAAACCCTAAATCGTCTTGGCACCGGCATCAGAAATCCACAAACAGCATGGGGAACTCGGAGCCTTAGGCTGAAAACCCTGACCAGCTAAGCCCCGCAAGCCTCCGATCCCCAAACAGTTAACCCTGGGATCCCCAAACAGCTAGGCTGTATCCCCTAAACCCTAAACCCTAACCCTAACCCTAAACCCTAAGCCCTATAAACCCTAAACCCTAAACCCTACAACAACAACACCAACAACAACAACAACAACAACAACAACAACAACAACAACAACAACAACAACCGGTGTATTCAAAAACTCTGGTATTGAGGCCCCTCTTGCCCCTGAGCTCTTCGTAGCAGAAGGGGGGTTAGGTGGCAGATCTTCGGAGTCCAGTTTGACAACTCTACTTATACATGGGTGGTTGTCAAAATTAGGATCCCTCTTTGGGCACCCTAAATATTAGGTGCCGTATTATACTTAGTTGCTGAGTTCATAAGCCCCCCCAAAAAGTGTACACTTTTAGTTTTATAGTGGGTGGTATTATCCGAACTAAGGATACCTCCATACATACATGCATATCCATATAACTACATACGTGTACACATATGTGTTTGATCGCATACGTCACCCTGTGCCAGAAGCTTCAGCAACTCTTTAAGATACTACTTGGAGGATCATGGGACTTAGTAAGTAGGGTTATAAGTATCTCAATTAAGGCTATATGTACGTATGACTGTAGTTACCTTATTCTTCCAACACCGGAAAACATGAAATTTCTCTCTCCCATGCTCGTGCTTTGCTGCATAATGATTTTGGGGAGTCTTGCGGAAATCATTTGGGCCGGTCTCCACGACAACAGTAACTGAGCATGCCACCCAAGTCTTCGCCGTTTGTCTCGTCACGCTCGCAGCCTTCAAAAACTGCCGTTCGTGATGGCAGCCGGCTCGAAGCTGCTTTCAGCTCCGTTGAACACGACACAGACACAGGACACAGCCTGAATCCGAGAAGTTCGAATGCCCCGGGCAGCCCGCAACTCGGACTCGTGCAGGCTTGAGCCCCAAACGACAAACTCTTCACCTGAAAACCTTTGGTACATATCGGAGGCCTTACTATTCTGACTGGCTTTCTCGTGTATACTACATCATCAATATCTATACCAGGAATTGTATGAGGAACGATATTGCTTATTGTGTTAGGTCCCCCAAAAAAGCTGGCACAACTCCGTAAAACCAAAATAAAGAGCACCTTACAGCTAAAACCAAACCCCCCGAACCCAAAACCCTAATCCCTAAACCCTAACCCCCAAACCTTAAACCCACAATTCTAAACCGCCAAATCCCTTAGCCCCAGAGCAATTCACCCAAAAAGCCTGAACCCCTAATGCCTACATCCTGAAACCCCACACCCTACTCCCTACCCCCGTGTCAAACCCATAAACCCCCAATTTGTAAACCCTAAGCCCTAAACCCTAATTAAATCCCCCTAATCCCTGAGCAGAAATATATTTCTAATAGGACAGTATCCTAGAGAGTCCATATACACTACCATTATGGAATTAGGCCCCCAAAGCCATACTACAAATGGTTTTTTGGAACCTAATTCCATAATATAATAGTAGTATATATGCACCCTCTGGGTAGATAGAGATAAACATATCCCCCCAATAATAAAGGCTCCGAGTTTTCAAGGACAAGCGCTCCTCGGCACGCATTGCAGCTTCGAGTGCAAGACGGCACCTTGGAGCGTAATGATTCACTTGGAGGCCCATGGGACTTAGCAGGTAGGGTTATAAGTACCTTAGTTGGGATTATAAGCAATCATAACTGTAGTTACCCCTTACTTATAACCCCAATTACTAAGTCCCATGATCCTTTAAGCATGCTATGCTAAACTAAGTTAGAATAGACCAGTATTAGCTTTGTTCGGTTATGGTCAGTCTATCAAGTACACTGTGTCGTGTATTATGCTTCTATCAGGCTATGTTATTGCCTCGCTTGTTGAGAGGAGCAGGAACTAACACTTGACGGTTTAGCGCTTCGAGTTTTGGGGCCCTAGTCAGTTGGGGGAGAAGGGTTCTGGTTTGTATGGCTTTTGAAAACTGAAGGGGTTAGGGTCTACGGTGAAGGGGATAGGGTATCTCTTAATGGTCAAGGAAGCACTTGGCCCCGAATGACAATGCCTGCACTGGTCACTAGTCTTTTGTAGAACTCTTCGAAGCCGAACGTTCGCCAAACTACTATCCCCCCAAGATGCCAGAGCCCTCCGCCAGCTGGATCCCTTGAGAGACTCCAGATCTAGAGCTGTGAACGCGGCATGACCTAATCATAAACGCAAACAGCTCATGTGCAACAACTACCTCAAGTCATGAGTAATCGGGTTAGGGTCTAGGGTGTAGGAAGTAATCGCTATTAGCAGCCTTAACTTAGACCTACGCGCGAAACCCCAAGCATGGCATAGGCTTCGCTGTTTTGATGCAGTCGTCGATAGCCTGTGCTCGACACAGAGAGCTGCCCGCTCTCTACCTCTATCAATTGGCAACGCCCTCCGGGCCACGGATCTCCGTTCGCTTAGTCCCATCGCTCATGGGCTCTATGACCGTCCCCATATTGTTGAACTTTACCTCCAGTCTGCATTGTAGTTCCTTGTCTGGGTTACCGTGCCTACGAGCTCTGTCATTGCTGTCACGACTGATATGCGGGCCGTATTAGCTAGATACGTTGAGAGGGACTTAAAGAGAACACCCTTACAAACAAAGCCTGGCCTATGTTGGTGACTCAGCGTGTCAAGGTTCTGCGGACAAGATGCACTAACCAGATTTAAGGCTGAGTTGAGGCTTCAAGCAAAGCACAGGCTATATACAGGCCTTAGTATATATATATATATAGAGAGAGAGAGAGAGAGAGAGAGAGAGAGAGAGAGAGAGAGAGAATAGGATATTGCGCATATAGGGCAGTAGGACTAGTGCATCTATATTGCCTAACTTTTGTCTGATGTTGAGACGGCGCGGAGGGTCATTAGACAGTGTAGACCCTCATCTAGAAATCGTATGAGGTTGCCTATGGGCTTCGGGTTTAGAAGTTAACGGGGTTAAGACCTCGGGCTTGCTATTATGTCATAATGACAAATGTCCGGCGAACCTGGTTCTTGCAAGAAGGGAGTTTGCAGTAGGGATCACGGCTTACAGTATGTGGGCTTGGGGACTTCACCCACAACAGGTCAGCCCATAGCTACTGCCGACAAATGCATAAAGTCAAGATCGAAACGCGGCTGCCGAGGGCTTGCATGTGCACCTTGGCCCGTACGTGCAGCAAGCCGTGGAGATTGAAGCAACCCCTCACTGGACAAAACCCCAGTGGCCTTTTCAAGCTGATTCCGAGGTAGTGCTAAAGGCACCGTTGGGAATAAAATTCGAACATGAGGAGATCCTAACCACTGAAACGGGAACCTATTTCGTGGCTATGCTGACTGCTGGCCTACATCTCTTCTTGCCACCCTAAGGCCTAAGACCGTTTTAATGTCGTATAGGCCTATATATGAATATGCCTTCCACAACAAACCATACACGGAGCTGCGTGCAAGTCCTGAAAATATCAACTGCAACTGCAGTTTCCTTTCACTTCGGCAACCCTGGCGCCCTCTTACATTTCAGCAGCTTCAGATTCAGGCCATGGGCTGCTGGCAGTGGGGAGGTGCAGCTGGTACACCCTTGTGAAACATCCGGCGTGCCCTCAGGTCGCGTGCCATGGAAGCACGCCGATGAACGCCTGCCCCCAGGAACACGCATCTTTCGACGCTCGGCAACATAACTGCAGTGCACATGCACTGCAGCAGTAAGGAGAGACGGGTAGAGTGACATCCCCTTATAGAACTCATATATAGAACCCTTATAAAACCTTGTTAAAGTTCTTATAAGACTCTTATAGAATCCTTATCTAGGAGGAAGGGGGTTTCTCACGGTGTGGCTGCCGGGGTTGGTTTAGAACTCGGCCTCGGCGCTGATGACTTTTGCAAGGCTTTCAAGTTATAGCTAGCTGTTGCATGATCTTAGTTGCTGAGTTCATAAGCCACCCCAAAAATGCACACTTTTGGTTTTAAAGTGGGTGGTGATATTATCCCAAAACGTCTATCCGCTCAGCTACTAAGTGATATTTGCGGTCACTACGGGTTTAGGGTTTAGGGTTTAGGCTGTTCCAGCTAGGGCTGCCTTCATTCGCTAGACCTAAGAGTAACCTAGGAACAAAAAGGGTGCCCTTTTTGGCTTAAAGGATGTTATAAGGGAACCCACGGTTTAGGGTTTAGGGTTTTAGGGTTTAGGGTTTAGGAATAAGGGCCTACTCTGGGTCCTAGTTCGTGGAGCAGGCAGCGAACGAGGAGTAGAAGCAGCAACATCAGCAGCACGAGTAGTAGCTGGGCAATGGTCGCGGTGGTACTAGTTGTATTAGTTTCCGGCGTCGTCGTTGTAATAACAGTAGATAGCAGCAATAGTAGTAGCAGTAGCAGTAGCAGTAGTAGTAAAAGAGGCAGAGGCAGTGGTAGTGGCAGTAGCAGTAAAAGAGACAGGGGCAGCGGCAGTGGCAGAGGCAGTGGCAGAGGCAGTAGCACTGGCAGTGGTAGTAGTAGCAGTAGCATGAGCAGTAGCAGTAGGAGCAGGAGTAGTAGTAGGTGGTAGTAGGTGGTAGTCGTGGTGGTGGTTGCGATAGCCGTGGTGTCGCTGTACCCTAGGCCCAAACTGAAGCAAAAGCCGCATGTACCAAATCCTGTGCAGAATATTCGCAGTGCAAGCCCTTCAGCCCGCGAGACAAACACACGACAAACCTTTGCCTGCTGTTTGGGACCTCGGCATGTCAGGAGAGCTCCAAAAAACTGCTATGAGTATTGTGAAAAGAACAAATCTTGCTTGTTGCTGCCCTTGACTATTGTGATTCTCGCGAGCTCGCTCGTCTTCTTCTTGCCATACTGTCATCGCGCGCCTTTCTGCTGGTGCTGCTGTCATAATGTTTCTGCGTGTAACTATGACTACGAGCTGTCGACATTTTGCCACCCCCCCCCACCCCACCCCACCCCACCCCGCCCATGCAGGCCTCCCCTAAGCGCAGCAGATCCCTGGTGCGCGCTTCTTCGGCTTCGGTCGCCGGGCGATGCGCGGGTCATGCTCCGCCGGCAGGCCCCGCACCTCCCAGAGACTCCAATATCCCTTAATTAAGGAATATACCTTAAATTATAGTAGGATCCCTAATATGATTTAAGGAATATTCCTTAACTAAGGGATATTGGAGTCTCTGGGCTGAGGCTTGAGCTTCGGAGCCGGGTTTGTGGGCTTTTGGATTTCTGGATCTTGGGCTTGGGGCTTTTAGGCCTTAGGGTTTTTTATCTTCGGTTTAAGGCCTTCGTAGCTTTTGCGGTTCGGCCTTGTGAAAGTTGAAGCTATTGTGTTTGGGATCGGTTTGGAGGCTTGCCTCGCAGGCGGGACGCCCTCTACCGAGACTCCCACCTTCCACTAATCTGATGCCCGCTGGGGAGATTCCAGTGTGAGTTAGTTGAAAATCCGCGACTTCTATGAAGAACCGAAGAACCGACCCTCTTGGATAAGCAGGTGCAGGCTGCCCCAACCTTTCACGCGGAGCTGCTATCTGTGAAGTTGTAGGCTCACCTGACGCGTACTGCCCTGCCACCGTTTGTGGTGGTAAATTTGTTCCAGAACCTATTGTCCTGCATTCCATGATAGACTGGAATGCTCTTTGAGCCCCGGAAAACTTGATTAAATACCCACAAACGTCGGTTGTCTACCGAGAACCATCGGCCCTCGTGGCGCACAACCGTGATGCGGGGAATTTGCATCAAGGTCTTCTGATCGCTCATCAATTCGCCCACCATCTGTGTCAACGTACGTCCATCCTGGAACGAGCGTTTGATGGAGTCTTGAGTATAGAATATCTCTTCAAGCCGAAGCCGGTTCCCGTCTTGGATCGCCACCGAGGTGGACAGGCTCATGCTCGACAATTGCGCGGTCAGTTCACGAACGTTCGCAGCAGGCATCCGTGGCTGCGGGCGGAAACTCAGCTGATCTGCTGACTGAGATGGCTTTTGTGCTTGCAGATTTTTCACTGAGGTAGTGCGAGTGGTTCCGTCTCGGAACTCAATTAGGACGGATCCAACAACATCTGCAATAATTCCCTTGATTGTAGCACGCTTGCCAACAAGGGACTTCACCGAACCAATGTAGTAGAGCTCATCCCCGACACCAAACGTGCTTCCGAACAGCTTCGGCTTGCTCTGCGCGAAGCTGGAAGTTCTGATTGAAAAATCATCTTGAAATGTGAGACGAACACTAGCCGAGTCCGGCAGGAAACTGCTAATCTCGGCAGCCTGGCCATAGTATGATGTTCGGTTCACAAGCCGATGAGCTGCATGGGATCCGGTGTAGTACACTTTCTGGTGCAACAAAAAGCCACTGGAGTGCCGTGGCTCGGCCACACGAAGCCGTTGATGGGATGTCTTGATTTGTCTACCATCCTCAAGCTTAACCATGAGATCCCTGCTGCCCGAGGAATCCACCCGACCAACAAGAGTGACCTTCTGCCCAAACAAGGCCAAACCGCCATCTGCGCTTGTACCTCGCCCAGCATAGTGCACCCGCTGCTTCCTTCGAAATCCCCCAGGCAGCTGTGGCTCTTGACGAGACCTATTTGTAGTGCATCGCAACTTGCCATCCTCAAAGCGAAGCTCCACTTTCTTTGGGTTCTTTGGGAACGTCTTCACAACATGCGCAGGGTAAGCAAAATATTGCAGTCCGTCCGGTTGTCGGTCACCGGTCCATATCCCGGTGTAGAACACTCTCTCGCCAAGAAGTGTAGCCATGCTTGGAGGATCATGGAACTTAGTAGACCGTGCCATAAGTACCTTAATTGGGGTTATAAGTAATTACAACTGTAGTTACCTTTCTTATAGCCCGAAGTACTATGTCCCATGGTCCTTTAAGTGCTCCGGTCAAGGCTGCTGGGGTTTGAGCCTAAAAAGTTCACGGATTTGGGCTTCTCGTGGCTGCTGTCTTCAGTGCGATACTCGACTCTCTGCTTGTTCTCCGCGTACTTACAGGATCATGGGACTTAGTACGTGGGATTATAAGTATAAGGTATCTCCAATTATAATTACTTATGACCCCAATTAAGGTACTCATAGCCCTACTTACTAAGTCCCATGATCCTCCAAGTAAGAGTGTGGATTTGGAAGGACTTGTCATGAAAGCTTTGGCTGCTGCTCACTGCTGTGATACTTCTCGGAATCTGGTTGGGCCCTTCGCGACTGGTATTGAAATCTTCGGGACATGTAGCTGTTCGACAGTCCTAGAGAGGCCGTAGCAAAGAAAGCGAACAACTTCTCACTGCATATGCATGAGGAACTTCCATGTCTCTCTGATCTGCAGCTGAAAGGATGCTCACTGATTAGGTGTGCCATGTGGCCATCATCCGGATTGAATTGAAGAGTGCACAGTCTTAAATCTTCCAGTACTTAAAGGATCATGGGACTTAGTAATTGGGGTTGTAAGTAAGGTAACTACAGCAATCATAGTTATATCCCCAATTAAGGTACTTATAACCCTACTTACTAAGTCCCATGATCCTTCAAGTAAACCAACCCTAAAATCCCAACCCTGCCTTGACGAAAGTAGGAAGCCGGTTCGGATCGTCTTCATCATCCATCTCAGCCGGCTGCGCCTCGAAACAGAAGAGGTTTCGGGTTTTAAGAGTGTCGAACCTTGCTAAACACCCTGGAGCCTAGTTGAATTGTAACAGGGCTTGAGAAATGCAGGGCGCTGAATGCAACCCAGGAAATAACGGTGAACGTATAGGGCCTTGAATCAAAAAACTATCCTAAACCCAAGACTTTGATTCCTACGGTTGATGATATAAATCCTTTATTATCCAGAATAAGGAGTATACCATTATTCCCATAGTTTAGAGTCCTTAAGGTAATGCAGGATTTATACTATCAACCGTAGCAGCGAAGAAGACCATGGCAACCTCGTGGTTCACTGTCTAGGATACCCAGTAACCTAAGAATAAAAAGGCCTCTCTTTTTGGTATTGGGTAACTCTATAAGGAACGTAGGACTACAAAAAGGGAATAAGGGTACTACTGGGCATCCTAGCTGTTAATGACTGTAATTTGGGATTTGGGTGTTTTTGCTGCTGGAACTTGGGCTCATGGTTTATAGGATCTACGGTCTAGGATTAGATCCCGAGGCCCGAAGGATTGGTCAGGTAGGGTTTGAGACTAGAGCTGCTTTGAACATAATATAGCAGAGGGGCCTTAGCAACTGGACTAGGGTATTTTATACAATGCTTACAAGAAGGAGCCCCCAAAATGGTAGAGGTTATTATTAAGGTCCGTATATTCGGCAAGTGGATTAGATGCGACAGCTTCAGTTCGGGAGGAGCGGCTTGCGATCTTTGACAAAGACCAAGTTCGGCTTTGGAAATTGATTGCAATGTCTCCTGCCAGCATAGGCAATGAACGAGTCTACTATAGACGCGTTAATAGTTTGAAGTCATAGTATACAAGTAATACTGAAGCCTGGGGAATAGTACAAGTCAGTATTGAGGCTTCTGGAGTACGCCTCCGATGTAACCTCAAGTTCGAGCTCCAGAACCAAAGTTTTCATTTGTGCCCAGAGACTCCGATATCCCTTAATTAAGGAATATTCCTTCAATCATAGTAGGGACCCTAGTATAATTTAAGGTATATTCCTTAATTAAGGGATATTGGAGTCTCTTCGTGTGCAGAACGAGCTTTGAAATGTTTGATGTGTCGATGCTTCGAACGGCTGGGGAAGTCAGAAGCTCGAGCACGGCGGCATTGAGGCTGGGGATTTCATGGTGCGGCAAGAATCGGGGCCTGAATAATTAGACTGGGTTCCTCTTAAAGGGTCTTATAAAGGTTACTATAAGGGCTACTCTAAGGACTTAGTATGGGGGCCTGAATAATTAGACTAGGGTTTGGGGGCTCACTATACTGTAGTTATAATAAGGAAACACCAAAATAGTATTGGTAACTATCAAGGCCGCTATATTAACGGTTTCCGGGTTTAGGTTGTCGGGTGCGCCCTGCCTGCGATTGCAGTTTGATTATTTTTCAGGTGCCTCGGGGCGAGAAACGAAATGCGAGGAGAGTGACGGGTTAAGATGATACCCAAAACCCTAACCCAATTTAACACTAAGCCTGAAGCTTTTACCTTATGAACCCTGAATCCAAAACCAAAGGCCTTGAACAACTCCGAATTGCCTGCGTCAGGTTGGTTCCAGCACGGTTGGGGCCCAACGGTGCGCCCGGAGCCATCCTAACCTGAGGATTGAGGACACCGTTTCGGACGTGATATAGGGTCTGACCAGTTGAAAAATCACTGCTGGGGGTTTCCTAGTGTATTTACAGTACAAGATCCCCCAAAAAGTCAGTCTACTTCTTCAGGCCACATACTGCCGCCATAAAGCACTTGATTCTCCACACTGATCCCTACCTCGCCAAGCATATTCTAGACACCTGAACAATCACCTATATTCCTGATAAGGGCTCCTTGGTAGAACTCTGCTATCATATGCATCGGAACCTATTCTGATTATTAACTTAATAGCTGAGTGGATACATTTTACGCTTTTTGGGATCATACCACCCACTATAAAACTAAAAGTGTACACTTTGGGGGGCTTATGAACTCGGCAACTAAGTTAAGGCGCCTGTCATGTCAAGGGCTTCATTATCGGGACGCGGTCGACCTCATGCAAGCGCCGCATGTGTGACATGGAGTTAAACCCTGAGCCCCAAACCTTCAAACTCTAAAGCTCCCCCGTCCCGCCCAAAAAAACACATACAGAACACAAGAAATCCTTAAGCCTTACCCAAGGACTCTTCCCTCAACTCATGTAGCAGGGACCCTCAAAAATGATCTGAAAGAAAAGAGACGGACTTTACTTCCAGGCAGCTCTGCAAAAAGGGCATGATGATGCTTCTCCGGGATTTAAACGTAGAAGGCTCCCTAAATCCCCCCGCTACCATAGGCACACGGGCAGGGCCTCAAGTATAGGGGTGTAACGGGTTAGGGCCGTTTACAAGTGTAGGGGCTACTCTAAAACCTAAACCCTAAACCCCAAACGAAACCCCACGTCTTCCCCTCCTTTTGGTCTGCAGGGAACGGAGGATCATGGGACTTAGTAAGTAGGGTTAAAAGTACCTTCATTGGGGTTAGAAGTAATTTCAACTGCAGTTACATTGCTTATGACCCCAATTACTAAGTCGCATGATCCTTTAAGCAGGGAACGGAGGAAGGGTGCTGCTGCACGGTCTCCGGCTTCTGGACATATGCATGGCCGGGCAGGTAGGCTGGATGGCCCATTGGCTGCATAACCTGGCTCTGCAAGAAAAGAAACAGCGTGGGTTTCTGTTTCAGAAATACCAGGGGTGTCTAGCGGTGGTCCATTTCTGAATCCCCCAAAATAAGCCTTGGAAAACCTTGCGAAGGTCTGCGTCTTCATCGGTTGCCTACGACTCATAGCCTTGACTTCATGAGGTTTGTTCTGCATCTCTTCTTGGTGTGTGCGTCGACCCTCCCGAAAAATTTTAAGGGATCTGGGCCTGGGAGCCTCGCATATGATGATGACTGATGATGATGATGGTGATGATGATGTTGCGGCCCATGAACCTTGAACAAGCCTCGGAACCTGATGACATTGATGACAGATGATGACGATGAGGACTCCACGGGGCATGCTTAATTTTCCAAGCCTCGATGATGACTGGTTACCCTCAGTCAGGGAGTCTGTGTTCGACTGAATCTGCGACGGAACAAGACTCGCCGCAAGCAACCCAGCTCCCTGGGCTGAGACCTGTGCTGAGCCTGACAACCCAACGAACTATTCTACCTGGGAGCCTGGGAACCTAGGAACCGAACCTTTGCCGAGCCTCGTGATGATTGTCAGATTGTCATGTCACGGCACATGTCTCAGCCCAGCCAGGGAGGGAGTCTTGCGGCAGATCTTCAACCGCAGATGCATTCGGCAACAGTCGCAAAGCCGGACTGGTGAGGAGCAGCATCATCATATTATGATGATGTTTCTCCTAACCAGTCCGGCTTCCCGAGTAGCGGTTGAGAGCATGCCGAGCTTGCACACGCTCTCCTGCAGCCCGTGTCTGGGAACAGGCAAACAGGCAAAGAGTGTTAGTCTCCAGCAACCTTTTAGAAACTGTCAGACCAATCCGGCTGGACTACAGACAACTTGCAAGTCAACTCTACAAGCCCGTGGCACGCATATCCTCTGGGCCCCCTGGGCCTGGAAGCCTCGCATATGACTGATGACTGATGATGATGATGGTGATGATGATGTTGCGGCCCATGAACCTTGAACGGGCCTGGGAACCTGATGACATTGATGACTGATGATGGTGATGATGATGTTGTGGCCCATGAACCTTGAACGGGCCTGGGAACCTGATGACATTGATGACAGATGATGACGATGAGGACTCCACGGGGCATGCTTATTAAATTTATTTAAATTTATTATTGTAGCCTCGATGATGACTGTCATGCCACGGCACAGGTCTCAGCCCAGCTATTCTACCTGGGAGCCTGGGAACCTAGGAACCGAACCTTTCCCGAGCCTCGTGATGATTGTCATGTCACGGCACATGTCTCAGCCCAGCCAGGGAGGGAGTCTTGCGGCAGATCTTCAGCCGCAGATGAATTCGGCAACAGTCGCGAAGCCGGACTGGTTAGGAGAAACTTAATTAATTTCATTTGCGATTGCCGAGCTGAACCTGGAAGCCGATACGACACGGGCTGAAGGAGAACATGCCGAGCTTCGACACGCTCTCCTGCAGCCCGTGTCTGGGAACAGGCAAACAGGCAAAGAGTGTTAGAACCCAGCAACCTTGTGAAACCTAAAACTCTCAGACCAATCCGGCTGGACTACAACTTGCAAGTCAACTCTACAAGCCCGTGGCACGCATATCCTCTGGGCCCTCTGGGCCTGGAAACCTCGACTGATGACTGATGATGATGATGGTGATGATGATGATGATGATGTTGCGGCCCATGAACCCTGAACGGGCCTGGGAACCTGATGACATTGATGACTGATGATGGTGATGATGATGTTGCGGCCCATGAACCTTGAACGGGCCTGGGAACCTGATGACATTGATGACAGATGATGACGATGAGGACTCCACGGGGCATGTGTTAAAATTATATCTTTATTTAAAATTTAATTAGCCTCGATGATGACTGTCATGCCACGGCACACGTCTCAGCTGGGTTCAGACTCCCTGACTGAGGGTAACAGACTGAGCCTGGCAACCCAACGAACTATTCTACCTGGGAGCCTGGGAACCTAGGAACCGAACCTTTCCCGAGCCTTGTGATGATTGTCATGTCACGGCACATGTCTCAGCCCAGCCAGGGAGGGAGTCTTGCGGCAGATCTTCAGCCGCAGATGAATTCGGCAACAGTCGCGAAGCCGGACTGGTTAGGAGAAACTTAATAATTTCATTTGCGGTTGCCGAGCTGAACCTGGAAGCCGATACCACACAGGCATGCAGGAGAGCATGTCGATTCGACACGCTCTCCTAGCCCGTGTGGGAACAGGCAAACAGGCAAAGAGTGTTAGAACCCAGCAACCTTGTGAAACCTTCAACTCTCAGACCAATCCGGCTGGACTACAACTTGCAAGTCAACTCTACAAGCCCGTGGCACGCATATCCTCTGGGCCCTCTGGGCCTGGAAACCTCGACTGATGACTGAAGATGATGATGGTGATGGTGATGATGATGTTGCGGCCCATGAACCTTGAACGGGCCTGGGAACCTGATGACATTGATGACTGATGATGGTGATGATGATGTTGCGGCCCATGAACCTTGAACGGGCCTGGGAACCTGATGACATTGATGACAGATGATGACGATGAGGACTCCACGGAACTATTATTATATTTTATCAGCCCAGGGAGCTGGGTTGCCAGCGGAGCAATTCAAAGTTCTGCCGAACACAGACTCCCTGACTGAGGGTAACAGACTGAGCTTGGCAACCCAACGAACTATTCTACCTGGGAGCCTGGGAACCTAGGAACCGAACCTTTCCCGAGCCTCGTGATGATTGTCATGTAACGGCACATGTCTCGGCCCAGCCAGGGAGGGAGTCTTGCGGCAGATCTTCAGCCGCAGATGAATTCGGCAACAGTCGCGAAGCCGGACTGGTTAGGAAAACTTATTTTAGCCGAGCTGAACCTGGAAGCCGATACCACACGGGCACGGCATGCAGGAGAACACCTCGAGCTTCGACACGCTCTCCTGCATGCCCGTGAACCTGGGACGGCGCGGAAGCGGCAGAATCTCTGCCGCTTCCACACTGTTTTTCTCCAGAAATTGTGACACCTAAAACTCTCAGACCAATCCGGCTGGACTACAACTTGCAAGTCAACTCTACAAGCCCGTGGCACGCATATCCTCTGGGCCCTCTGGGCCTGGAAGCCTCGCATATGACTCAGATGACTGATGATGATGATGATGGTGATGATGATGTTGCGGCCCATGAACCTGGAACGGGCCTGGGAACCTGATGACATTGATGATCGATGATGACGATGAGGACTCCACGGCGCATGCTTAATTTTCCAAGCCGTTGAGCCTGGACCTGCAATTGATGTTCCGCGTGCACGCCGTGCATTCCCCGCAGCATCAATTCGAACCAGGTGTTTCCAGTGGAAACACCTGGTTCGATTGATGCTGCGTGTGGCGCCTGGGGCCTGAAGTCTGTTGCTGCTCTGTTGCATGCACCGGCAGTGAACATCCACGGAACGGCCACCGGCAAGGTTTCCATGTCCCCAGACTCCCTGAGCGACTCTGCCACGGTCATCTGTCCGCCCTTAAAGGGTGGACAGATGACGGTGGCAGAGGCGAACCCAGGCGAACAACCATGGAGCCTGGCAGCAACCTTAAAATCTTAAATATTGGGAGCCTGGGAGCCTGGGAACCTATGACTAGGAACCAGTCTCAGCAACTCAGGCCACAAAGTCGGAGCGTCGGCTGGCGCCGGTGTGGGCACCAAAGCAGCCTGGCAACACGGGGAGCGACTGGGTTGCCTATCAGCAGTGACAGTGAAATTACATCATCCAGGGTCCTTTTAGGTGGGATGTTGGGCACCCACGAAGCAACCCTTCAATGCATAGAAAAGACCCTTCAATGCAACTTTTTTGAGAATCAGCGCGTTCAAGGGTCACAAGGTTGCATCCAAGGGTCCCTCAAAGACTAAGATGCTGCTGGATGTTGGCTGGGCACCCACGATAAAACCCTTCAATGCATCCAAAAGACCCTTCAATGCACCTCTCTTAAGAATCAGCGTGTTCAAGGGTCAAAAGGTTGCATCCAAGGGTCCCTCAAAGATGCTGCTGGATGTTGGGCACCCACGATAAAATTCCTTCAATGCAACTTTTTTGAGAATCAGCGCGTTCAAGGGTCACAAGGTAGCATCCAAGGGTCCCTCAAAGATGCTGGATGTTGGGCACCCACGATACAACCCTTCAATGCATCGAAAAGACCCTTCAATGCACCTCTCTTAAGAATCAGCGCGTTCAAGGGTCAAAAGGTTGCATCCAAGGGTCCCTCAAAGATGGCTGGATGTTGGGCATCCACGAAGCAACCCTTCAATGCTTCCGGGTTTAGGGTTTAAGGTTTAGGGTTTAGGGGTTTAGGGTTTAGGCTGGTTTAGGGTTTAGGGTAAAAGACCATTTCAATGTACCTTTTTGGAGATTCAGCGCATTCAAGGGTCACAAGGTTGCATCCAAGGGTCCCTCAAAGATGCTGGATGTTGGACACCCACGAAGCAACCCTTCAATGCATCGAAAAGACCCTTCAATGCACCTTCTCGGAGATTCAGCGCATTCAAGGGTCACAAGGTTGCATCCAAGGGTCCCTCAAAGATGCTGGATGTTAGTAGGCATCCACGAAGCAACCCTTCAAGGCATCCAAAAGACCCTTTAATGCACATGTTTTAAGAATCAACGCAGTCAAGGGTCACAAGGTTGCATCCAAGGGTCGCTGACTGTCAAGCCATTATGACCGCCATGTACCAGACCCTGCACTCAATCAAGTCAGGCTGGCCAGACGGATGTCGAGATTTCGGGCGCCAACTGCAGCAACACCACTTCCTTGCCATTGTCAGTACAAAGACCCTTTAACTTCAGCAGAAGTTTCAATAGACCAATTGCATCCAAGGGTCTTTTTAAGCGGAATGTTGGGTACCCACGAAGCAACCCTTCAATGCATCAACAAGACCCTTCAATGCACCTTTTTTGAGAATCAGCGCGTTCAAGGGTGACAAGGTTGCATCCAAGGGTC